GGTGAATGTGAATCGACGACATCAAATCCACGCTTACGACAGCTTTGCATAATGATATCCGGCATCTTTGACCACCTAATTTGACTGGTGACAATTTTTGTAAAATGAAAGTTTTGTCTCTAACCTGCCGTGCCAATAGAAAGAGTTCATCACGTCTGGTCAGAAGTGAAGGCATGATTAAACATAATTGAGCGGCTGCTTCATTCACAGATACCTCGTGAAACGAAAGACCCTAGAAGGAAAAGGTGACGGCAAAAAAAGAAACGAAAAGTTCCTTCATTAACTATTTCCTACTGTAGCTGTTGCCCTACAAATCAAGGTGAAGCAACTGACCTTGTCCGGTTTTCTCTTCGCATCAAATCGCCCATAAATCGCTGAATATTTGCGGTACTCGGCAAGACGATTAGGCGTGTCGGCAGAAGCAGAAAGAAGATCGAGCACCTCTCTCAAAAGCATAGTCAAGAAACACGCTTCTAAATAGCTTGAGCATGATTTCCAAACCCACTTTGAGACTCGCTTTTTATTTTGTATGAGTTTCGGTGGAAGTCGTGGGATTTTTTGACATATCGCCATTGCGCAGCTGGAAAGGCGACGAATCTGCGCGTCGGACAGAACTGGCGAATCGCACAAAGCAGTACCTAAGCAAAATTACAGTAATCCAGCCAATATTGATTGTATTTTAAGGATATCAAGACAAAGGGAAAACGTTGCTTACTTGGATCATAATCTCCCAGAGACACGAAGTCTCCTCCTACTGAAACAGGGCTGGACGACCTGAAGATGCAGCGATCATGTGCGAATTCATTATTTCGAAAAATTTGAAGCTTTCTGAGGTTGCTGCTGCCGTGCTTGGAATGCATAATATACAGAGTTGTTCTAAAATTTCTGTCCGGTTTTTTATTGCCTTGCATTAAAAGCAGTTTTCTTCTGAAAATTTACTTATTGCAGTTAAAGCCATGTGAACGTTCTTTTCTTTTGCTCTTTCCGCAGCCACCCATGTAAAAGTTACTGAGTTACTCAAACAAGTGAGACTCATGTTACTCAAACAGTAACATGAGTTACTCAAACAGGTGATTTTTCCGCCTAATTGGTCTGTAATTTCTTACAATTTCCGGTAGTTTTTTCGTTTGTTTTTTAACTTTGTATCAGTTTCTCTCTTTGTTTAA